GCGTGCGTGTGCGCGTGCGCGTGCGTGCGTGTGTGTGTGTGTGCGCGTGTGTGTGTGTGTGTGTGTGCCCGCGTGTTTGTGTGTGTGCGCGTGCGCGCATCCGCGTGCGCGTGCGTGTGGGTCTGTGGGTGTGTGTCTGGGTTTCTGTCTGTGTGCGCGTGTCCGTGTGTCAGCTTCTGCCTGTCTGCCTGCCTGCCTGCCTGCATGCGTGCGCTTCTGTTGACATACTCTCTTCATCGCCTTCTGACATCAATACCCAGCGAACTGCCCGCTCTTAGGATTCTCTCGCTTGGCACATAGCAAAGCGAAGGCCACCTTGGTGAGAAGTGCTTAAAGATCAGCGTCGCAGTGGCCTGGCAGTGGGTATAGGCTAGGAGGGCCATTGATTCTTTTGCTCTTCCAAATGTCCGGCATAACGACAGCAATGATGATGATCGCAGGCATTTAACCTGTTGGAATATCTCAAACCTCTTTTAAGCACTCGCACTCGAACCCTTACACCGACCTGCAACCCTGAATCAAAGAGATTGCCGAGGCTAGCACCGTCTCGCCTTGGAACAGCCATGTTTCCACAGCACCAAGACCCGAGAATCACGGCTGCGGGGCTTCAGGAATGCAAGTTTATGGAGGTAATTATGCAGGACATCTCACGGCTTTGGGCTGAGATTTTAGTATCCAAATCAAGATTAGAGACCCTTGCAGCCAAAGACGCTGTTGCTTTCCACGCACAGATCCTCAAGGTGGCAAAACCTGCAACTCGCGTCTTGCTATCAGCCGCAAGAGCAATGTGATGCTTCAGTGCAACTCCACAACAGGTCTGAAGGACTTCTGCCGAGGTGTATCACTATTGTCTATTGTATCACTGTCGTCAAGAAACTTAGATGGCCGATCTGGCACAAGGCAGAGGACATTAATTAGTTAGAACATGAACAGAGTCTGGGGGGCAGTGTAGGCAAGCTACTTTGATGCAAAACACATCGCCCACCCAACTTCGAGAACTTGTGTTTCATCGTTGTTAAGCCTGCTGCTGCTACTGCTGTAGCGGCAGCTGCTCATGTACTCCGACTCCTCCTCCTGCCGTTGCTGCTGCTGGTGCTGCTACTGCTGCTGCTGCTACTGCTACTACCACTACTACTACTGCTACCACTACTCCTACTACTACTACTACTACTACTCCTCCTCCTCCGCCTCCTCCTCCTCCTCCTGCTGCTGCTGCTGCTGCCACTGCCACTACTACTACTACTACTACTACTACTACTACTACTGCTACGACAACAACTACTACTTCTTCTCCGACTGCCACTGCTGCCAATACTACCACTACTACTAGTAAGACTAGTACTACTAGTACCGCTACGTAGTACTACTAGTTACTAGTACTACAAGTACTGGTAGTAGTGCTAGTACAACTCTGATACTACTAGAACCACTGCCAGTGCCACTGCTACTGCTGCTCCAACGATACAACTGTAACATATCATCAACAACAACAACAACAGCAGCAGCAGCAGCAACAAACAACAAACAACAAACAACAAACAACAAACAACAACCACCAACCAACACACAACAAACAACAAACAACAAACAACAAACAACAAACAACAAACAACAAACAACAACCAACAACAACAACAGCAACAACAACAACAACAACAAAAACAACAACAACAACAACACCAACAACAACAACAACAACACCAAAACCAAAACCAACAACCCACAACCCACAACCCACAACCCACAACAACAACAACAACAACCAACCAACCAACCAACCAACCAACCAACCAACCAACCAACCAACACCACCACAACAACAACAACAACACTACTACTACTAACAACAACACTAACACTACTAACAACACTACTAACAACACAAACACAATTACCACCAGTAGCAGCAACAGCAACAGCAACAACAACTGTGTTCAATGCCTTCGGCAAAGACAGGTATATAGTCATCTGCGTCGCCGAGGACCCCAAAATAGGAAATCTTGAGGCACGGAAAGACCCAAGTACAGCCGTTCGTTAGACAAGTTACACTGCAAAGTTACTCAAGTCTATGGCTATAAAGGCTCACATACCAACTGTCTATACCTCCCCCATGAGGCTAAGCGTTTCATCCCTCTAAATTCATGCATGGCCGCAAGTTTCGAGATTTGGGCTTGGGGGTGCCTTTGCCCGGCACTCACCACTTTCTCCACTAAACCCTACACGGCCCTAAACCCTGCTCCTAAACCCCAAACCCCTCAAGACCCACTTCTGCTCTGCAGCCCAAGGGCCACCAACCGAAGGGGCTACCGAGCTGCATCTTCCACTGGAGCTCCACCGGCTTCCCAACCTCCGCCATCGGAGGCTGTAAGAAAGTGGCCTTCATAATTACAACAATAACTACAATAAGCTTTTGGGGTTTATAACCCCCAAAATAATGGTATGGGGTAATCATTTCTAGTAGAGCTTTTGGGCATGAGGGCTGCGTTCAGCACCCAAAACTAGGGATGCGACTTGTAAGCCACAAGTGCTATGCCAGCATGCCATGCTGAAACACCTACTATGGAATATCCTGAACGTCCGCAGTGGCCCAAATTGGTTTACCTCCGCATGGCTCCGTCTCACGTGGGATCTCTGCAACCGAAGCCCGGGACAACCACCACTATATATCTTCGCAACAGAGGTATGCCGCTCTCGCTCTCATCTCGTTTCAATCCTTATGCAGAATCATACAGTATAGCATCGGTCCGGCCCAGGCACCATTGCAGACGGTTGCACCCAATTGCTCGCACCTAATTAGAGTATTAGAGCATGCACTTCCAGAAAATCCATGAACGAATTTGGTCCTACCTCCAATTGACTTGCTCTCGTCTGCCCCTCCGAAAATATCCAGAAATATTCATAGCCTGTTCATGGCACATCTCGTCGCCCTGTTGGGGTAGCATCACATGGGCCATGCAACATCAGGTTCTTGAAGAAACAGACTCCCTCACCCTCTCTTGCCAGCAGTCGGCCAAGGCTCTTTGCACCACTACTGAGTACTGCCGTTGCTGTCAGAAGGATGTTCGCAGGCTGATGGGGTCCCGCCTCCAGTCCCTGCAGGCCTTCCAGAACCTGTCCAGTTGCAACTCATCGGGTGCTAAGCTACGTGAATTTCGGGACCGCAAAGCCGAAAATGTCACGCTTCAGAAACGCGTGAGCGCCTAATTCGGCGTGCTAAAACCCCGACGGACTTCAGGCCTTGTTGCCTGGGCTTGCATGAGCCCTGGCATTGAAGTCTCCAGGAAACGTGAAATCCTTAATCAAGCCTGCTGCCTAAATCCGAATCAGTAAGAGCCTTTGATCGACTCAAAACAGCCAGGAATCTACAGACGGCAGCAGGTTTGGAAGGCCTCGAGCCTATTTCTGCAGATGCCACAAAACTCGGGAGGAGCAAAAGCGCCTTGTACGGATAAGTGCTCTGCCGCTTGTAGCTGGGGCACAGCCGCTTCCTGGGAACCTGACAGTTGCCGTCGTAACTCGGATGACTATGTTGAAAGTGTGACTGTTCGTCAAACGAACCCAGAATGATAGCCGTTCGGGTGTTGAGGCCAAGTTTTTTGGTTTACAACACTGCAACAGGAAGCTTTCCTGGTGTGTCGGGGCTTCAGGCATCCCTCCAGTCGGCCACCATCATCCATGAGGCGGCCGGAGGCTCAGCACCGGGGAAGATCCCACAACGACAAGCCTTGAGACCTCCCAACAACAACCACCTCCCAACCGCAGAGCAGAGCAGAGACTACACGGCCATGGAGCCAGGCACTCAGCTCCATGGCCTTCCGGGAACCCAACATCCATCAATGTCTCGAAATCGCTACCCGAACCGTGAGCCCTTTAAAGAAGGCCAGCCTCCGGCAGAGGCAGCCAGCTGATGCAAAGCCTGGAGGCCACACGAGCCCAAGGCAACTCTGTTGGCCGAAATGCCGAAGTTTGCATATCCCGACCCTCTGCCTGTCTCCAATCCTCAGACAGCCACTGCTCTTCGCTGCTCTGAAAAGTAGGCGTAGAACCCAGAGCGAGAAGCAAAGAGGCATGCACCACATCCAAAGTTCCCAAGCCAGTGCATTCCTTGTCTGAGATTTGGAAACAGTTGCAGGCCTTTGTCGAGCGGATGGTGGGCAGAACCTGGGGCGTCGGGTGCTCTCGCTTTAGTTGAATCGCTGGCTTGAAGCCTTCCTCGCTTGAAAACTGTTCCTGCTCGTGCCTCGGATTTTGCTCTTTGCTATTGGGTCGTCTTTGCTTTCACTAGCCGTCACTGGCAGGTTGAGCCTGGACCCCCTGGCAAACTGCTTCGCCAAACCGAGGCACCGTAGCCGGTGCTCCTGGGCCCTTGGGATGACCTCCGGCCTCAGCTTCGACAGGGTGGTGCTCTTACTCTGGGGGAGGGGGGGGGGGGGGGNNGGGGGGGGGGGAACGGGGGTGCTTCGTGGCCTCGGGCTTACGGAACTGTTGGAGATGTTTGGGATCTAGGCTAGTGTTCCGGAGTCTGGCTTTGGGGTTTCGAAGTGCGACCAGTCACGACTTCGCAACTTCGGGCGAGGCTGACAAGTTCACCTGGAAAGATATGGCATGTAGCATGGCCCAAGGATCAGAAGCCGAAGCGAGAAGAGCTGCCAGCTAAGGCCGCCCAGGAGAAACTGCACCTCCTTACTCCTACTCGAACTCCTCGACCTCCAGCTGCTGCTGCTGCTGTTTTAGAGGAAGTTGAAAACTACTGCTGGCCGATGCAAACTGTTTAGGGCACTTTTGCCTCTTGTCTTATCTGCTACACAACCGTGGAACATGGTTCCCACAAAGCATGTGGTGATATGTCGGTTTGGCGGGGCATCGCCGGTGTCTAGCGGGGGGCGTGGGGTGGTATTCATGACTCTGAGGTTCGAGCATCACTTCGCTTGCACCTGGGATTTTGCAGGTATCTCAAATCAAAGTAGGGCCACGAGACAGCACAAAGACAATTCACAGAAATCAGCAGCGACCGAACTGACAAAGGAATGCATGAACCTGACGGGAACATGAGTGTGCAACAGGTCTCCAAGTTCTGTCCAGCGGCTTATGTACGATGCAACATAAGCATCGGCAGCATGGTCATATTGGACAAGGGCCGGCATCGCCGACATGCAGAAGCCTCGCTTCTTCTCGCGGTCGAAGATCTCCATTTGGAATTCGCTGTTTCCCCTCCTTAGAGCGGAGCTGCGCGAATGGGCCCCAGCACCTCCAAACTTACACCCAAAGCAAAAGGACTGCCTTGACCTTTCAATAACCCTACATGTGCAGATGTTGCATTGGTCCCGTCAAGCATCCAAGTCTGCCAGTACAGCGTGTACCAGGCCTGAAGCAAAGGCTCGATGCCCACCCCAAGGCCGCCATAGTTATTAAGAATTAATGTACGTCTGCATGTATGTTTGTGCGTATGTTTGTATGCATATCTCTGTCTGTGTGTGTGCGTGTGCGCGCGTGCGTGCGTGTGTGCGTGCGTGTGTGTGTGTGTGCGTATGTGTATGTGTATGCGTATGTATGTATGCATGCATGCATGCATGCATGTAATGAATGAATGAATGAATGAATGAATGAATGAATGAATGAATGAATGTATGAACGTATGAATGTATGATTGTATGTATGTATAAAAGTCTCTATATGTATATAGAAAACAGTCTTTTTTTGGCTCCCGCATGGCGAATCCCGAGGGCTTCACATGGCAGGTGTACAAGCTGCTACTTCTCCACAAACCTACTCCATATATGTACGTAAGTGTATGTCTATGTGTGTATATATCTATATAGATAGATAGATAGATAGATAGATAGATATGCACACATGTTATGAATCGATGCGTGATCTAATGCTCACTTGTATTTCGACAGGTACTCTTCGACTCGATAACGAATTACAGGAACCTTCATGATGTTCTCGTGACAACGATGATGCCAATTCTGATCGGCCTATTTTATTGAAGCAGAGACAAGGCACGACAGAATGACAATCTTGAGGTCATGGGCTGTTCTGTGGGGCCGACTGTGCCATCCACGTCGCCAAACAGATTGAATTGCCACCAGCTGTCACTAGCTGCTAGCACTACTACGATGTATGCTGCTTGCTACTTCTGCAAAGTCATACCGGTGCTGCTCGCATGCTCCGGCCACAAGGGACTACTGACTGCGACTTACGGCGACCTCCGCCCCGCGATGGAGAAGGCAGCTGTAGAAGCACGGCCACCGAGCCTGGTATAAACCTCATGGGCGCTGCGGTGGAGTGTCGTGTCCCCTCGCGACTTCCAGAGAAGCTCCGTCTATTCATCAACAAGACGGACGGTACACGCCATACACAGATCCTCGGCCTGCCTGCCCACAGCCGGTCCATGAAGGGTTCCAGCAGCGGTGTAAAAGCAGGGCTGAGCTGACAAATGGCGCAGAAGTCCTGAAATCCGCGGCTGCTGATGATGCAACACAAAAGCTGCTTAGGGCTCAGGGTTTAGGGCCAAGTTCTCATCGACCTTTCAGACCTGTAAGTCATCAGCAAAATGAGAACATGTAAGAGTCAGCCACACGAGCAGACACCACGCAACCAAAAGGCCAGCTTGACGAATACCGGCTCATGCTGACGTATGGTGACCGCAGAGGTTGCGGAATTTAACCGAGGCAAGTACATGAGGTCTTGGCCGGGTGGGTGATGTGTATCCAAGAAGTCACGAAGACCTGTCTCCACCCCTCAACCATTTACGACCCGAATTCCCCGCAGAGCTTTGGCCTCAACACGGCAGCTTTCGCATGGAACGCTCTCCCATCCGTCCTTGGGTGACTGGACGAGGTAACACGTTACCTCCAGAAGAAGAGGTTGGTGACCTTGGCTGAACGATTACCGGAAGTATATGGTGGCAACGTCTCAATGCGGAACGAGGTTTCGCGGGGACCCCGTAGAACCCGACCGGTGAACGGAAGTGCACCAGGGCCGCGGCAAGCCATTAGCGCGCTGAAGCCACCACTGATTCTGGCCTCAGGCTGGCGGATGGTTGAGTTTGACAGTATGTGGGACAAGGTCGGCGTGGTGGCAGTGGGCAATAGCAGTTTTGTCACCCACTTGGCACGATAGCAGTAGTAGTAGTAGTAGTACTAGTAGTAGAAGTAGTAGTAGTAGTAGTCGTAGTAGCAGCAGCAGCAGCAGCAGCAGGAGTAGCATAAGCAGTAGCTGTAGCAGTAACAGTAGCAGGAGCAGGAGCAGTGGCAGTGGCAATAGCAGGAGTAGTAGTTGTTGTTGTTGCTGTTGTTGCTGTTGTTGTTGTTGTTGCTGTTGCTGTTGCTGTTGCTGTTGTTGTTGTTCTTGTTGTTGTTGTT